TCATAGTGATCATTATTTCAAGAATTGTAATAAGTAGAGTAATTGCAAAGGAGGGTGCTGCGAGCAGCTTCATCAGAACAGCACCTGTCATTGGCATCGCTTTAGGCTTTGCCAAACAAACATTCAACACCTGCATGGTAAGATGGACTTCTGGCAGAATCTTCCAGGATTGGATGACTCCAAGGCTTTTATTCACCCTTCGAAGCTTGATACCAAACAGTTGTTGGACTACAGTAGGGATGAACTACTATGTTTAACAGGCCTTCTTACAGGTCACTGTCATTTGAATCATCATTTGCAGAGATTCGGACTGTCGGAAGATAGTATTTGAATCTGTTTAAATATGTTTAAAATCTGTTTTTCCGTTAATCAGCTGTCGCCCCCATACGAACAACAACTCTCCGAAGTTAAGAAACTTGTGCGAGCTAAGGACTAACGAGGTCTTACCTTTTAACGTGTGATTCCTAACATGGTTGCAGAATCATCCCCCTTCAACCAGATAAATTCTCTCGAGAAAAATATCTGGTCAAGGCAGGAATCGAACCCACGGTCTTCCGATCGTGAGTCGGGCGCACTACCACCACGGCCAATTCCACAACATGTATCCTCTGTTCGGAAAATGATGAAACTTTCTGCCTGTCCTGCTGGGGACCGAATCAGGTTTTTAGACTTCGGCAGATCCGTACTCTTATCATCTGACCTGAAAGACCACTCACCATGCAAACTAATCGGCTTCGTTAAGAAGCTGGGTTTATTTGGTTAAGGGTGAATAGGTGTGAGCCACAATAAACCCTTGCGGGCTGCGGTGTAGGTCGAATAGGCCCCCTCACTTTGGACTTAACCTAATCCAACCCACCTCCACACGGGAGCGTATGTGCCTACATTTTTCTGTTACAGTATCACATCGGCTTGTAACTGATAATAACTCAAATAAAAGTGTGTTCATAACTGTAAATTTTTTTGTAAAATAGGTGAGTATCTAACTACCTAGAGACAATACAAGAGGAAAATGCGACCTCAACTTTCAAAGTGATTCACTATGTAAAACAAAACCAACGCAACTGCATCTCTTCATCACGCCAGCCTCATCGGTGTGTGTAAGACCACTTGAATTTGTTTCCCTGCTCGATAGTTTCAACTTTCCGACAACTACTAAAATTTTAATCAAACTTGTATTGTGTAAAGGACAAAAATAATTTTCATGAAACGCTTATGTATCTAACGTATTTAATTTGAAAAATATTGCCGTCATATCTTTTTAAATAACTTTCTAATAACCATGCATATCAAATTCGACTGAATTTTCAAAAGGGGTAATCTATCCTTAACTATCACAGAACAATCCGCGTTGGCGTATGTCTATCTATATGACATCGCGAACTTTTCTGTACATTTGTGAAAAAAAACAATATTATATTGCTTTCCTGCTCCGCACGGATAGCTCAGTCGTCCCAACTTCACACCGATAAATTCATCATAATTTAATTCATAACGATAATAATGTAGAATGTATCAAATAATATTTTTTCTGAGATATTGAGTTTTACATTGCTCGTTAACATTCCCGAAAAAAGGATTTTGTTGGTAGAAAGAAGTTGAATTCCTCGAAGACAAACTAGATACAACTAAAACAGGCATTGCGATGATTCAGCTGTAACTGCCAACCAACAATTTTCCATGGATAAATAATTACCCGTCTGATCATCATTATATTTCGATATAATTGGGATCAAAACCTTGGAAGGTGTATTCGTTTATACCGACGCCATTTAGAAAAACTTTACTTTCGTGGAATGAAGTCCAATGATTCATGGAAATTGTTATCTACAGAAGTTTACCGTGATGTGCCTACTATACATTGGTTTTTCCAAAATGATGAAAAACGAATGCTATCATTTAAGTAAGTGCCTCTTCTTGATTTTTGAATTAACATTATGAAATAATCATTCATGTTAATCATAAACTGTTTTTCATTGCCATTCAAGTACCTGAATTATATATTCCTTTACTGTGAATTGAATTCTTCTGGAAAGGTTATGCATCTTTTGAAAAACTTCGATACTCAAGTCCGGAAATACCAATTGACATTACTTCAAAATCTCGGATAATTCACACGCATTCAGTGATTAAATTGTCCATTACTTGCATTCCATCAACATTCCGACATGCCTAATTGAAATTAACATTCCGACATGCCTAATTGAAATTAATGTGATCGATCTCAATTTTTATTGACACTCATAATTTTCCACGTCTAAGGATGAAGTACAGGAAGAACCTATCAGCTGCTCTCCAAAAGCAAACCAAAATGTTTGTGTTTTGAAAAACAAAATTGGGTACCAGAATACTCAGGAATCACAGATATCGACATACTTGATGATTGTGGCATCTTGAAACAACAGCTACATATATTGGTTCTAAACTAGCAGGAGGATACTGAAACTTCTGGTATCTGACCAGATCAGAAAAGGTTCGATACAAAAAAAAGGTCATCTTCATCTAAGACGATTGCTTGAAAATCAATGCTTTACTAACTTTGTATATCCGCAACAATTGTTGATTCTAAATGCAAAAGATACTTGATATGTTGAGTAATTATATATATATCATTAAAAAAAACAATTCTTGAGCATAGTATTGAAATACAAAAACAGTGGGTTATTGACGTAATGACCTTGATGCATAATTGTGATTCGAATAGTTACTCTTGAATTGAATATCATTCCAAATTATATCGAATCCATCGTTATTACCTCATGATTATATACTTCACTTCTGATCATAACTTTTTCTGTGGAAGAACCATCAGTGAGAGTACTGGGAAAATAAACCTGGAAATACACACGGGAAAATGTTCATATAGGGAATTTTCGCGAAGAGAAATGAGGAAAAGCTTCGACAAAGTCGGGATCAAAACAATTATAAAGCTACTCACTAAGACTTTAGCTACACTTATTATTACAGGCAGTAAACAAATCTAAAGAAATGAACTTTAAATTTTCAAGCCCGTCTCGGGCTTGAACAGTAGGTTGAATGGACTGATGCCTATCAGAAAACAACTACTTCACTGGCTAATACCACGAACGGCGTTGGATTATATCCGACAGGCGTCAGTGCAGGAATCTTCACAGAATATTTTCTGCATATGCAAATGGCAATACAACTGAAAGAGTCGACCTTCAATTTTGGGACGGGCACACTTGCAGACCGGTTTCGGGCTCCTTAGCCACTTGTCAGTGCAAGATATTGACCATCATCGACCTAAATTCAATGATATTCCATAATTGAAAATCTAAATTCTTTCATCAGAGTATTTCATTCCTCGTTTTAAGTTGGAGCGAACATCAAAAATGTCACTCCATCTAGTGGTCGCGGGACTAACCAACATTAGGTCGATAATCGTCACTATCTTGCACTGACGAGTGGCTAAGGAGTCCGAAACCGGTCTGCAAGTGTGCCCGTTCCAAAATTAAAGGTCAACTCGCTCAGTTGTATTGCCAATTGCATATGCAGGAAATTTTCTGTGAAGATTCCTGCACTGACGCCTGTCGAATATAATCCAACGCCATTCGTGGTATTATCCAGTGGAGTAGTTGTTTTCTAAGAGGTATCAGTTCATTAAACCTACTGTGTAGGTATATCCGAGACGGGCTTGAACATTTAAAATTAATTTCTTTAGATTTACCTTAGCAATAGGCAATACAACAAAAGGCACAGGAGGCGAACTATTTATGGACAACCAGAAACATATGACAAACATCAAACTGGTACGGGAAACTACGGAAAACTTTTGAAATGTGCACTGTGAATGAACTGTAGAGTAACTCAGTAAGCCGTTAACTACAAAAAAAGTACAATTCAGACAACTACTAAACATCGGCCAAAAAGCATGCCACTACATATTTTTTTTTCTAATCATTAGGAGCATTTCTAATCTCAGGAAATGTATATTTTGTTATGGAACAGGATTTCATATCATGCGGATAGATACTAATACAAATGTTTTTGATGACTCAACAGTTTCCTTTATTTGTATCGCACGAAAGCGAGTCTGATCGTCACTTTATTTGTGGTGTAATTAAATCAATTGAGGTCAGTGTCTGCCGCGATACTCAGAAAAGCCTTATTATGAGAGGTATCATGCTGATAATCAACTATTTCATTACAAAATTCCTTATGCTAAATCTTCTACCGAAAGCGTTTAATTTGCAGTCAATACAATAAATTACATTTCTCTCAAGATATTAATATATTGAATATCTACTTTTGTTATGTCGGCATTTTAGTATGATATAACATAACTTACTACTTGAGAATGTATTATTACTTTTTATTCGCAGACTTTCAAACATTCATCATGCATATGTTCTAGTAACGTACTATATTGTTCTAAAATTCCGATTTTAAAATCTTTTTGAGTATGTGATGAAACGAATTGTTGAAGAATTTAAATGAAGAACCAACCAGTTGGTTGACTGTTACATAATGTGATTTCGAATTCAATGCAGTCTTCTTTTTTGGGAATACATTAAAGCTGTCTCATTGAACTACTTGTTGAATTCTGTTGATGTTCCTTCAATTCATTTTGAAGACTAATAGGGCCAGCATACAAGACACGTCTAGCATAAGTACTTAGGTCATTGGCATAGTTTATTGATGTAAAATAAAGACTCAGTTCCCTCAAATGTATTATCAATAATATCATATTGAATGGCATCGTTGGCTAACAAACGTAATATGAGATTCTTCAAAAGTAAAAGGTGATTAGTAGTATGGAGAAAAATATGCACTTAGATACAAATCCAATCCACCAACATTTCCAGGAATGGTTTTGAGAGCAATACTGATAGAAAGACTGACTGTGCTGGCAAAAACTGTAAGGTTAAGACTGCAAATCATTCCAAAGTATTTTTTCAATCTGTGCTTTACTCCAGGATATTTAGACTTTCATGTTCAATCTTTATCATTGTGTAAGTAACAATATATTATTTTTGTTTCAGTGAGGGATCCGCAATGGGTGAACGGGTAGAGCCTACCACGCCAGGGCCGGACCTAGTTGGAGTAAACGTCGAGCGACCTCCGCTTGTACATCAGCAATCATCAGTCTGGAACAAAAGGCAGCAGGCCGTCTGCGTGAGGCATGCATATAAATACTATGGCTCGAAAAAAAAACCTAACCATGTTCTGAGCGACTTGAATATGACTGTAGCCAAAGGAACAATGTAAGTGTTCAATTAGGTAATTACCAAATTGCAGATTTGGATCAACTGTCTAATATGATATAAATTGGTTTCAAATCACTGAAAGAATCTGTAAAAAATTAAAAATATTAGCTGAAAAATTAACAATTATATTGAGCAAAAAAACTGAAATTACAATGAAATAAAATACAAGCAACAATAAAAAAATAAAAAATTGATCTACGAACACGAGATGAAAATTAAAAATTACTAACAAGAAATTAAAATTAAAAGATTCCAAGCCAAGTTACTTCAGGACGTTTCGATTGTTATCGTCTTCGGGTGACAACTGTGATAACAGTTATCAGAGGTATCACAATCGTCTTCGAGTAATAACTGTGATAATAGTTGTCACAGTTATCACCCGAAGACGATTGTGGATACTAACCATCGAAACGTCGTGAAGTAACTTGGCTTGGAATCGTTTAATTTTCATTTTTTGTTAATAACGAAAATCAAAAATTGAAAGATTCCAAGCCAAGTTACTTCAGGACGTTTCGATTGTTATCGTCTTCGGGTGACAACTGTGATAACAGTTATCAGAGGTATCACAATCGTCTTCGAGTAATAACTGTGATAATAGTTGTCACAGTTATCACCCGAAGACGATTGTGGATACTAACCATCGAAACGTCGTGAAGTAACTTGGCTTGGAATCGTTTAATTTTCATTTTTTGTTAATAACGAAAATCAAAAATTAAAAGATTCCAAGCCGAGTTACTTCACGACGTTTCGATTGTTAGTATCCACAATCGTCTTCGGATAATAACTGTGATAACAATTTTTTATTTTTTGATCGTTGCTTGTATTTTATTTCATTGTAATTCAATTTTTTTTGCTTAATATAATTGTTAATTTTTCATAGATTCTTTCAGGGATTTCAAACCAATTTATATCATATTAGACAATGGAAATCTGAACTAATGAAATGCAACTGGATCAATATATGGATAACGAAACTTAACCAAAATAGATTCATTTTCATGTAAAGAATATCTGAATAAAGTTTGAGTATCAAAAAAAAAGATTTGATTCTAATACTAAAGCATTTTTTAAATGTAAACTTTTGAAGTAAGACACTTGGGTGGTGAGTCAGGAAATGATCTACACCCACTTTGCGATCTATGAACCGTATTGTTTGCATAGTAAATTGTCTATCCAGATAGTTGGAAATCAGGTAATTTCAGTTCCATTGTAGATAGTTCATCAGTGAAGTAATAGTTTTCATAAATTGAATAGGCTGGTGCCGATGGATCATAATTAATTCATTTGTCTAGTCTAGATGATAACCGGGTGAAATAATTTTCAGAGAAGAAAAGTCTGGCACATTTTACATATTAGGGAAATTGTGATAATTCTGAAGACCAGCTTGGGTGGACTTAAAAATAAAAACGGTAACCTAGTTATTCAATCTCTCTATTATAACCTTGTACTTTTTTCAAGTTCAAAGTTTCACGTTTCTCAATAAACATTGAAGTTTGATCAGATTGATCTGATATTTGTTACACGTATTTAGTTTTGATGAAAATAGAATTTAATACATGCATTTTAATCTGTATCATTGTAAATTCAAGATGGCCGCAGCAACAAAATGGTGGATTACAAATTTTATCACAACTACTATAATATGAGTATCAAATGACAGGACTTGACTAGTAGAATAGTAGTACACTTTGAAAAAGATGCAATTTCAAGATGGCCGGCCGCAGCTGCATGATGGCGGATTGCATATTTCACAACTACCTCAAATGACACTTTGAAAAAAAAAGCAAATTCAAGATGGTCGTAGATACAAAATGGCGTATTACAATTTTTTTTACAACTACCTCAATATGGGTATCAAATGAGAGGGCTTGACTAGTAGGATAGTAGTACACTTTGAAAAAAGATGCAAATTCAAGATGGCCACAGCTACCAAATGGCGAACTACATATTTTTTCTCAACTGCCTCAAAATGGGTATCAAATGATACGACTTGACTAGTAAAATAGTAGTACACTTTGAAAAAAATGCAAATTCAAGATGGCCGCAGCTATGAAACGGCGGATTACATATTACTTTGTGAAACTGAGGCCCTGAATGAACTAAACAGAATGAGAAGAATTGACAAACAAATCAGAAACTAAAAATAAGTGAAAAAAAAATGGTAAACGGTGTTATTGAAAAAAATATATTAATGATGTAGATAATATACTGAAAATTAATGCGGAAGGTCCTAGGTAGCAGTCAGCACACCACTCTCCTAAGGAATCTACGATATTGATCAGATAAAAAAATAATAAAATCGTTGACCGTAGCCTAACCTGAGTAAATATGTCAATACTATACCCAACGATTTCATTATTTTTTATCTGATCAATACCGTAGATTGGCTGAGAAGGATGGTGTGATAACTGCTAACTAAGACGTTCCGAATTATTTTTTAGTTTAAGTACATTATGTACATAATTTTTTTTGACAGTCAAAATGATCGAATACGACAAATCACTGATGAATAGAGAGAAGTGTATCCTTTCCATATCTATATTATTCATATTTTTTAAACATCATGAAAAATGAAAAGTCTCAGAAAGTTCAATAAAAACTCGGACATATCCATAAAAATAAATTTTGTTTTATATATTGAATAGATCGTTGAAAGATAACCTGATTTTGTTTAATCATTCTTCCAAACATTAGCATATTGATGATCTAATCAACAAAATTATCTCATATTCTATTCGATTCAATTCTCATTTGTACGTAAGTCGAACTTTTCAAAAATAATTTATAAACCATTAAAAAATAGAGAAGTAATGAGGGTTATGACGTTCTGTTACCATCATTAACTTGTTTCAAAGTGAATCGTAAAAGATAACGACAAACATCCATAATATTGATTTAATATTATTTTAAATACCAATTTCATAATTCTCAAATGGAACAGTAATAAAAATACTCAGCCATTCACAATAATGAGTGAACTGGTATATTCGATAATACAAAACGATATTTAAGCAGTTAAAAAATGAATTAGTTGGTTAACCATCCTATATCCTTGATTTGCCACAAAATCTGAGAAATAAATGAAGATGTCAACAATTTGATTACCTACTGGTGGAATTTTAAATAAACTGAAAGAACTGAACATCGTGGAATTTACAAAATCAATAAAAGAAATATAGGTTCTGAAATGAACTTTCATACAAAAGTTTAGGTGGTCTTAAGTCAGATTCAACCAACTGTTTATTTTCGGTGCAAGTTCCAGCAAGACAGAAAGCGATTTCCCATTTGTCGGCAGATGCTGAAGTTCAACTTTGCCACACATCGCCATTATGACCCACGTTCATTGTTACTTCATGCCATAGATTGCGTCTTCGTCATTGTCTTCTTTGTGTTAACAAATATTTCACAAAGAACATGGTACCAAACCATCAAAGGTCGGCCGGTGTAATCAATTAAATATTCACCGTTTCAATTTATGTATATCATTAATTACGTCTGTAATTGAATACTTATGACCTCTTATCATCAGAACGACGAAATAATAACTTGAATGGATTCACGAAAATAGAAATATTAATTAGTATTGATGGGAGCAAAAAGCCAAGGACTCCTATAAACGGAGTCTTTCCGTAATCTAATGTATGCAAAAGTCTTCGAAACAAAATTTTACTAATTTATTTCCCTATCTACTGATTTTCAAACAATTTTGTGGACCCCACACTCTTGACAGAAGTAAACGTTATTTCATTATTGGACTTGAAAAAACGTAGACTGTACAAAGACTTTTCAGTATTTTGCAACCTGTCTTACAAGGTAGGGGTTTTTCCTCCTTGTTGGGAGATTGCTCGCGTTCAGTCTATTGCTAAAAAAGGCAAAAACACACAAATAAGTATAGACCAGTCGCTTTGCTATCAGTGATATCAAAATTGATGGAGAAAGCCGTCAACCAACATATCCTCAAATATTTGGAAGGCTTCAACATCTTGAGCGATCATCGATATGGCTTTCGGAAACAAAGATCAACAGGTGACCTTCTATCATATGTTACCCATATTTGAAATAACGCAATCGAGGCCTTTGACCGTGTATAGCATGAGGGTTTGTTGAACAAACTTATGGTTCTCCAGAATAATCGAATCCGTAATTTGCGTATCGGACGTGTGTCGTTCCAGACTTTTCGTAATCCCGCTGAAAGATTACATTTTGATTCCGAGGAAAGAACAAATCACGTACTTCGTAATTCTATAGAAAAATTCCAATATCGTGTGATCATGGAACAGCTTAACAATATTATAAACAACGTCAGTTTTTTCATGTTCGCGAGTTCGCTTTAACAACGACCATTGATGAAATTGAGGTACAAAATCAAATTTATTTAGGAAAGTTTGAGATTTCAAGGTTAGTTTTTTGAATCGTACACCATATTAGAGAATTATCTTAAGAAATGGTATTTTCAGATTTGGAAAATTATTTGTGTTCTTGAGATGAAAGCCTGATGAATTCACACCAAAGGCATCAAAAATTTTGTCTGAAGGAAAAGTAACTGGATTTTGTTGGAGGCAGATAATCATACATGGTTGCTTGAAAAAGTTGTATTAATGTGTGGTATTTTTAGCGCCTGTAGATGTGACGAACTTGTTAAGCTGACTGTGGATGATTTAGAAACCTCCAATACCAGAGTTTTGGTTACACTGAGGTATACTAAAAACAAAAAGAACAGGGTATTCGTCAATCTTAAAGAAGGACATCCTTTTGATGCCTATGGTTCATACCAAAAATACGTAGATTTGCGGCCTTCAAATTTGGAAAATTGGCCATCCTTCACTGGTTATAGGAATGATAAATGTGTAAAACCAGTTGTGGGCATTTATACTATTGGAGCTGTTCCAAAGAAAATGGCCGCATTCTTAAATTGAGAAACCCTCAGCTCTACACAGCACACGCGTTTCGCAGATCCTCGGCTACTATGCTTGTAGAAAATGGTAGCGATCTAATAT